TGTCTCAGCATCTTTTTTACATCGTGGTGACCAAAACTGGATGCGGTATTCCAAGTGTGGCCTTACTAAGGCATTGTAAAGTGCTATTAATACTTCACGTGATCTTGATTCTATCCATAAAGGTCCCAATTCAAGGATTGATCGCAAAGTTACTTTGCGATCACTGCTGTAACTGCAAATGGTTGCTAAACAAGGCAGCCACTAAATGACAACTACCTGTACATAATTAGGTCTTGATGCCTTAATTTCTACAAGGGCTTTTCCTGTAATTTTTTTAAATACATAAACATTAGTATATATCTATAGGTATAGCTTTGAAAGGTGGCTTAATTGAAATGTGTTGGACACTGCAAGGAAATATGCAAATCCTTTTTCTAAATATATGTCTCTGGGGGATTATTAGATAAGACATGAAAACAAACTTCTTGGATCCAAACAATAAGTCCCAAAGTTTGTTTCCATTATTAGATGACTGAATATATTTGGGAAACTTAGACATAGTGTACACAGATTCAGTACTTCTCTCAGCATTTCCTACTTAGCAATTCGTGCTTATAAATACAGAAGATTTATTTAGTTAAAACAGTTAATTCTAACTCAATGTGTGATTGTAGTATTTCAAAGATTTCTAACTGATGGAGGTGTTTGCCACTGAAAGAATGGCTGTTTTGGGGAATAGAAGTAATATTCATATTACTACTCAATGTCTTTAGTGCATTTAACACTTTTGAAACATTTTATGCATGATGCATGAGATCATTATGGAGAAATTGCTCATTAGGGTGTTTCTGTTCCAATCACCCACCACTTTCTTCAGTTCTCTTTTAACAATCCTTCAGCATTCTGTGTTCACTGCACTCAGTGACATGATTAGTCATTCTAGAGCAGACATGTCAAACTCGCGATGTCATGTGACATCGCGCAACGTATCGGGATGGTTTTGCCATTGCCGGCAATGGGGTGGGCGTAGCTTCTGCGTGATGCGTCCGACCCATGGGCCAGCAGTTTGATACCCCTGTTTTAGAGCTTTGGGGTGTAGGGAGGAATCATTTTGAGGTTTATTTCTTCTTGGAACTTTTGTAAACTTCAAATCAAATTATTTTATGGTCATAGACTAGCATCATAAACCTCAAGATTTCCTTCAAACTTGCTGATAGTTTTCCTCTTTTTGGGAAGAGGGATATATAAAATTGAGGTGTCCTTGGTGCTCTCTGAGCTTGGTTGTTTTCTCACAGATGTTTCATTACCCAAGCTCTAAATGCACTGATGATGTTACCTAGTTTGGTAATAAAATGTCTGCAAGAAAACCCCAAGCTCAGACAGCACCAGGGACCCTCTCATTGCAACCCAGAGTTACCAATGTTCTCCTT